TTTCAAAATTTTCAATAATGTATAAATATCCTCACGTTTCCTGTGTTGTCTCGGAAGAAAGAATCGTAAAACAAGTGACCCGCATCAGTTGATTTGCACGAGCGAAGCTCAGTGATAGCGGAACAAACTCGGCCGACAGCATTATCAAAAGCTCTAATTACACGGTGGCTCGTTACTGTTGCTATCTATGCAGAACGATCGAGCTGTCCGAATTATCGGGCGGTTACCAGCTCGGTTTCAATGGTAATAAGCCGGACATTTCGAATAGCGCGAATAGGAAAGCGATGAAATAGATGCGAGATAAATGATCGGTGCAAATTTCTGATAGAGATTCTCGATAAAGAGAGAGGGAGGGGATGGAATGTTCGAGCGTGACAATATGGAATAATTAATCAGCGAAAAAGAGGGAGAGAAATGTATGAAAAATGCGCCTTTGTTCGATTTTCAACGAAGGACTCGTCGCCTGGAGCACGCTCGACTCGAGCGTTCGATTATTCGTCGTTCGTATTGTTCGATTCGCGCTGCTCGAACCGCCGTGGAAACGCGCTTTAACGCGCTCGCGGCGCTCCTTTCCCAGCGCTTATAAATATCGCGATTCGACGATTGTTTTCAAAAGTTCGAGTCAACAGTGACTCGTGGAAATACGAAACGTCTGACGTAGAGAACTTTTGCGCTCACTCGCGCTGCAATGAAACGCGATTGTCGTGACTGTACTGATAAAATTGAAAAATACCTACGTGTACACGAAATCACCGAGATATTCACCTTTTTTTTTTAGGAAAATAAACGTACCTCACTGCCATTCTACGCCGAATTTATGATAAATTTTACCGTGTTCTCATATTCAATAATTTCTAGTAATTCCTCATTACCAATTTCTTGAAAAATTAGTACAATATATACAGTGGCTTTCATTAATATTCGGTGACTAAATGTTAGCTATTATAATTTAAGAAAAATCATGCAATAATAAATACTTGGGCTTGTTTCGAAGTTTGAAACTCCTATTTTCAAAATGCAATCGTTCATTCTAGTCCAAGATGTTTTCACACCGTCTAGCAGGTGTGAAGACACTTTTCTTCCTGAAAATGCTACAGATTGTCGTATTATGTAAAAACAATTGAACAATTCTCATATTCAATAATTTCTAGTAATTCCTCATTACCAATTTCTTGAAAAATTAGTACAATATATACAGTGGCTTTCATTAATATTCGGTGACTAAATGTTAGCTATTATAATTTAAGAAAAATCATGCAATAATAAATACTTGGGCTTGTTTCGAAGTTTGAAACTCCTATTTTCAAAATGCAATCGTTCATTCTAGTCCAAGATGTTTTCACACCGTCTAGCAGGTGTGAAGACACTTTTCTTCCTGAAAATGCTACAGATTGTCGTAGTATGTAAAAACAATTGAAACAATCTGTTTCACGACTGAATATACAATGGATTTGAAAATTGAACGACTTTTACGACTTGCTGTACAATTTATCGAATATCAAGCGAAAACGAACGTAACACTGAAAAATGTGTACGATTTTTTGAAATTTTCATCGTCGTGAACTTTGAACGTTCAAAGTTCACGAAAAAGTTTTTCAATGTTTTTACATACTGCGACGACTGAAAAAGTGTCTTCGCTTATCCGCCCGCTACGCGATGTAATAAAAACATTTTATAGAATAAAATGAAAGCATTTTGAAAGCAGAGGTTATTCAGGCTGTAAAATGAGCCCAAGTTTAGTGTCGTACAATTTGTTTTATTTTTTTTTACAAAATTATTTAGCAAGCAGTCAGCTGCAATGTCTAGTGTAACCGAGTATTAATGAGAGTCATTGTAATTCGCGATTCATTAATGAAACACAGATTCAGCCGACTTTTTGCGAAGCTTGAGATAAGTGAACCGCTTGTTTGAACTATTTTAACAATCAAACGACGCGAAACCGAACGGAGTGTCTGATGATAAACCGTAACAGATTTGAAGAAAATATTGTTGAATCGTTGGAACAAAACGAACGAATCTCAGGCGTAGGTCGAGAGGTCAGACGTCGATTGTCAGCTGACGCCGACTATGGGAAACGCAATTTTCGCGGATGAAAGATAACCACCGAAGAAAACCGGCGAGGAAATATTGGTCGTATGCAACAGGCCAATACGAATGATTTATGCGGTTCGATTAATCTGGGTTACGCCGTTTATCGGCCGCTTTGCGTATTCGCATAATCGACAGGGTGAACGAACTCCTTCGGGTCGATTGCAATCGTATTGTTCGCGGGCAATCGTCGTTGATAAAGAAGTTGAGCGAAGTTTTACAAATGCGTTGAATTCATTTGTCAGAGGAAGCAATTTAAACAAAAAATACACGTGTTGGAAGTGCAAGAAATAAATTTTGCAGAAATTAACATTCCACTCGATGAATATATCACGTGTTAACACTATCAAAATAGTCGAAATGACTAATTTATAATTTTCTTTTAGAATAATTTTACGGACTCACGACGTTTTTCAGAAATTCGAATGATCTTCCATTCCAATATAGATATATTTTGGATGAAAGTTTTTTGTTTATTATTCCTTGCACTCAAGACTTTTGTATTTTAGTGTCAACTGAGAAAATGTCGAAAAAGATCAATACGTTTTTTCAAGTGTATCATATTAAAATTTTGTTTAATCGGTAGTTCCAGTGTCAGCTGAGTTGTCGATGTTAATTACGTTTCAAGCGTAGTATATTGAAATTTCGCTGGAAATATAATTTGTTTGAAATATACTTTGAAAAAAATACATGGTTGCAACGTCGTCGAAACGACGACGGATGTTACGTAAACCACGTGGAAAACGTCGATATCGCGCGTGTGGCGTGTCGAGCCTCGACGGAGCGAGAAAGAGAAGAAGAAGGCAGCTCCGACGTTCGAAGACATATAGCGATAACCGTATCGAACCGCATTAATCACCCTCGTTTCCTCCCCCTCGTTGTTCCCCGTCAACCCCGCTTGACACGGCGAGCCTCGTTGCCGGCGACGCGGATTACAACGCGAATTAGTTGTAAAACCAACGGAGGAGAACGATCCACGCGACGAGCGTTGAACGGCGTCGATTGTAATTTATCAAATCGCTCGTTGGCGCCCACACTTCAATCAATACGAATCTTCTGCCCGGTCTGTGAACTCTCCTGCCTCTTTGTGTCTGCTTGCTCGTGCCAACCAGCGAAACGCACTCGCGCGTATCAGCCTCTGCGAGTGCAATTTCATCCAAACGAGGGGGAGGGAGGGAGGTTTCCCTCGTTCGCGAATAACATCTCGCTATTATCGCACGATCTATAAGGTCTCTCTAAATAAGAGAAGGATTTGCGTCGAGAAAACCTGCGACCTGTTGGATCTGTACAATCCTCAGAAGCGATCGACAGACTTTTGATTGTAACACTTCCTACTAAGATCAATCTTGCAACTCTACTGGTGCTGCCAAAATTCCTAAAATAATATTCCTTTCATTACATCTTTTCAATCTGCGGAAAGAAATAATTTTTAATGCTTAAAAGAAATCCTGCAAGTCTACTAATACTGTCGAAATAAAATTGCTTTTATCACGTCATATTCTTTTCGAAAGAGATAATTTCCAATGTTTGGAAAGAATTGCGGAAACAATTGTGTTTTGAACTTCAATTTAATTTAATTGAAATAACAAAACTAGTTTTTCTCTTACACCTTGATGTTTCATAAAAAAAAAAAAGGAAAAAGAAAATACTATTACGACGAGTTCATTTGGATTTTTTAAACATTTGATATACGTGGAGTTTGTGTAGGCATAGAAGAAGCATACTCTTGCGTTTGGCAATCGTTGTCGGTTGTTGGAGAAGCGGTAGACGTGGGTGGCGCATGGAGTAATTAGGAAATTGAATTCCTCTGTGTTTATAGAGCACGGGGTGCGAACGTTAAGGAGAACAGAAGCACTTGATGTAAGAAAATTTCTGTTAATTACGAAAGTAAGTGGACCTTTCCATTCGCGGAAGGAAGTCGACGATTGCAACGTGGACGCTTGGCTCGTAATTATCGAAATATACGTTCGAATTAGGTGAAATTCGAACGGTGTTTGTTCGATCAAATCGTAGATACGATCGTTACAAATCGATCCGCTTAATAAGGCGGCAAACAAAACGGTTATCGTGCAACAGCTTTCACGGGCTGTTACGTTTCACATCATGCTGTAAAACGTATTAGCGCTTTCACGTTCGCTGATTCTTACTCGCGTTTAATCAGCGAATACAATTCACGAATCACGATCGCCAGACGAAACGCCAGAGAATATTAAATCAAAAGATTCTACTCTGCTTAAACGAACGATTGACATCGCTCAAGTAACGAGTACCGAGAAAGAGTCGGGCCCGACTCGGCGAAATTCAATTCAGTTCACCATCCGCAGCACGAGGTCGTCCTTTAATTCTCAATCTCTGTTAGAAATTCGCGAATTTACTGTTTTATTATTTAATAATCACATATGATTTACTTTCTTTAATTTTTGTACAAAAATCAATTCATACATTTGAGTTCAACTCTCAATCTTTGTAAAAAAAGTTCGCGAATTCGCTATTTATTATTTGATTATCATCACATGCAATTTATTGTTTTAATTTTCGTACTCTTCTAAGGAACGAAAAAAACGAATTACCGGTGACAAAATTAATAAATTGAAAAAAAAAAGAAGAATATAAATTCTCCCCGATCTTTACAACAGCACTCTCTCGTCTCTCCCGTTTTCTCTTTGGTGCTTTCGTTCAGGCCGATGATCGCGTGAAATAATTTTTAACGCTAATAGGCAGCCTAATGGACGTTTGCGTAATTCGCCGTGCACGTCCAACCCTCTTTACCGCGGCAACAGAGACACCACAGTACGACCACGTACAGCCTGGCACACCTACACGCAAGCGTGAAGCGCGTCCGCGCGGAAAACTCTCGAGGCAAGAGGCAAGTGTGTTCACCTTAAGGCCTTTAGTCGAGCGCCGTCACACGCGCCGTAAACATCATGCGTTGCTCGTGTCGCGAACCTCGCCGTTTCATCGCCCGTTCTTTCGTCCCTCGATTATCTCGCGCGTAATCCTCTCGGTATCGATCGTTGATACACCTGCGCGAGCCCGCGTCGATTTCCAATCTGCCGCGAATTCGCGAATGACAAAACTCCGCGCCTCTTGCTAAACTCGCCCGTCCGGGAATCTTTGATCAATCCATCGATTGAGTGTGAATACATACATATGCTATACTTTAGTACACGAAGCTTCTACCAAGATCGTACGACTATTTATAAACAGTGATCAGTCACCTGACGGTGTTGATAACAACTTGTTACAACGTAACAATCGTCGCGTCGACGATGGTCTCGCCGAATGTTTGACGCCGTTTCACTTCGACAAGAGGAGGATCGTCACGCGATCGATGGAAACATGCTGGCGAATTTCGGAAGCAACGAGAGCATACTGGGTTACCTGGCCAGCAAAGGTACGTTGGCTCACGTGCCAATTAAAGGATTTCTAGGCTAGAGGTGATTCTAGATCCTATCGTCGAGCCTTATGCCTCGAGTTTGCACACAGACACTCGGGTTTGACCGCGTGATAATAGGCTGCCGCGAGAAAGCAGATAGAAAGTAGAAATCCTCGTAGTACAAATTCTACCCGGACTTGGAGATCGCTTTCATTGTGATAAGGGTGTTTCTTCCTTTTCGTCCATGTATCGCTCTCAACGCATCGCCGAGCATCGTTTGTCCGCCCGTAGGTACTAGATATCATCGTTGTTCCACAATTTTATTTACGTTCAACGCTCGTTTCTTTCATTTATCGCCGCGCGAATTGGTTCGGCACATATATCTCGAGATATTTCTCTATCACGAAAGGCATCTGAGCGACGTTTGCTGCGATATTGGCGCGCATTGGAGGAATAAAGTTGAATTTATCGCGTAATTAATCATCGTTGTCGATGCGGCAACACACACCATGCCTCGAGCGTCTAACACCAGACTGTTATTCACATCCAAGCCCGATCGATTTGCATTCGAATTCTTTTATCAGATCTGTCGCACACGAATATTTTCTAGCCTTGAACAAATTCTCGAAGAAATTCACAAAAAGAACAACAAAAAAAAAAAAAAAAAAAAATTCACCCGATTGCTGAATAAAAATCTATCTCGTCTTATTGTCGATAGAAACCATTTCAAAGAAAAAAAAAAAAAAAAAAAGAAAAGAAATTCGACGAAGATTTCAAGTAGACACATTGCTCGAAGAATTCTCAATGTCTCGTTTGTCGCCGATTAACCGAATTCTTTCCATTTCGAAGCGAAAGCAAACGAATCTCTCCACCAAAAGAAAAACAAGAAAAAAGAAAACCGGGCAAGAATCCTGCGTCATTGAACGAGGAAAGTGTGCACAGACTGTAAAGTCGGCTCGGGTGCGTTCGCGGGTTGAATGGCGCGTGTTGAACGCGTTTCGCCCCCGGACTCCCTAAAAATTTTATAGTTTCCTCCTCGTCGCTGGCAGACTATGAGAGAGATACGTGTCGTATCGTTGAGGAGGATCGCGCGTGAACGTGGCTCGGCATTAACGCGACTCGGAAACTCCACTAGCTAGTCACGTGCTTATGCTTACACCAGCTCTGTGCCGGCGTTGGATCCTCCTGGGAATACAAATTGGACGTTTCTCGCGTCCCGTCGGACGCCATGATGGAGGACGCGTGGCTAACGGTAACCCCGTGGCGTATCTCGCGAGTTGCGAGGCGTTTTTCCCCACGAGTTATTTCATCGCTTGTAAAACGATGCGTGGAAAGTGCGGATATCACGTCACCGTTTCGTTTTCGTTCGCAGCATCCCTTTTTTCATTCTCCATCAGCCATTAAACCAGATCTTTGTTCTTCTTGGTTCAATTTCACAACCAGTTTAGTTAACCACCCTCTCATGGTGGTTAAGTTTCGCGTATATACTTGCCAGAAATATTAATGTAAATGAACGAAAATATGTATCAACGTTAGAACAACCGTGTCGAAATTCATGAATTATTACAATTTGAATGACAATCGAAATAAACAGACTTACGGTACAATTATATGTTTCTGTGTAAAGGAAGAGGTTAATATTAAAAGTAGTAAAAACTATACAATTATTTTTGTTTACTTCTTCAATGGTAGTTCTAATTCTTATTCAGGATAAAATTCTTAGTTTGATCGAAATTTAGAGTTGGATTAGACGTAAGGTTAAATCAAGAAATCACTGTTAAGCGGTTCGTTTTTCTACGAGTTTGTCTGACGAAAGGAAACGAAATTGTTTGTTCGATTACACATTTTTTAAATTACTCTAGTAAGAAGATTCTAGTAAGATTATCAATCGTTTTTTTAAAAATAATGTTTTAAATAAATATTGGCTGCCGCTCGTGCGTATAATACT